CGGGGACCGGATTCCGGGCGAGCGGATGGCGCTGGCCCCTTCCCCTCTCAGCCGTAGCGCGGCGGTTGCATTTTGCTTCTTGGGGCCCCGGGGGGAGCGGGAACACAGGGCCCGCGGGGCTTGCAGCGGAGTCCTGCTGCTGAGCGTCCTGCTCCTTCGCCCGGCTTCGCTTTCTTTCATAAGGGTGGCCGGGGGCCCAGGAACTTGCAGGGTGGCGGGGGCAGTCACGGTTGCTCGTAGTCTGGGGTGCTGCGGTACGGGGTGCTGCCGAGGGTCTCCTGGCCGCCGCCACTGAGCGCGGAGGCGCGCGGATCCGGCTGCAGCTGCGAGAGCCGCTGCTGCCGTGCGCCGGTTCCCTCGGGCTGTGGGCGCTGCGCTCCTGGCCTCGCCGGTGGCTGCGCCTGGGCACACACTTGCCGCGGGCGGGGCGGGCTCGGGGAGCGAGCAGGCAGAGCGGAGTACGCGGTCCGTGTGTGTGTGTCTGTGTGTGTGTGTATAATGTGTGCGTGCAAGGAGGAGCTTAGTGTGATGTCAAAGCCCCTGGGATTCTCTTGCCATGTTCCCTTGGTCTCTCTTTATGGGCAGCAGCGACCCCTGCCGGGTCTCAAATTCAAACTCTATCGGCGAATTGATCCAGGTGAGGGTAAAGGGGAAGCGACCCCTGGACCTATTAGTACAGGAATAACTTCCTGAGCGTTATATTTAGCAAATGTATGTGCGTCTCGTAAATGACCCTCCCGTTTGCTGGAAGTACTGCCGTGAGCTCCCTAATTACCTATCCTAAGGCCAAAGTGTAAGGTGGTTTGGTATCGAGGTCCTTCCAACGCTACTTCTGGAATACCTAGGGCAGTGGCTATCAAACTTTTAGTTTTAAAGCTCAGACTGATGAGTCCTGCCACAAAGCTTCTGGTTCAGTAGATCTCGGGTAGGGCCCCAAAATATGCTTTCCAACAAGTTCCCAGGTGATGCTGATGCTGCTGGTCTAACAACCACTCTGTTAAGATGGGTATAACAATGGGCTTCCTACTGCCCACCTGGAAGCAAACATGCAACATTTGTTTTCTTACAGAATAGGTGTTTTCTCACTCTATAAGAAGAAAAACTAGGTGAGACATTTCTGGACTGTTTATTCTGATTATCATGACTGGGAACGGGGGACTCGCAGCACCAACAGGCAAGGGAGGTTTGTTTGGGTTATTGTTTATAGTGTGCTCTCCAACTATGCATTGAGATTACAATAGTGAGAGGACAGTACAGTGCCCCTGGTGTAGTGTTCTTAAAACTGTGGTACAGCACAATTCCTTACCAATTAGACGTTTGGGTGGTGGATATCCTTTCCCTTGGCTTGAGATGCCTGCCAGATAGTCTCTAAAAATATTTGTGTGATGGTTCTCTATCATTCACATTTGTTTCCCACCTGATGCTCTTTCAGAGAACCCAGGATTTAAATTTTAAAAATCAAAGTCTGCCTTTTCCCCAGGACTTTAATATGTTTACAGCTCTTCGTTAATGAATGTCCACCAGTACAACTTCTCTTTTTCCGGCAGCAGTACAAACAGCTGGTGGCTGTTAAGGGAGGGCAAAGAGCCTCAGCTATACCCAAATTAGAAGCAGGCACAAGAACTACTTAGAAGAATTTGTCTCTATGGCATTCGATGTGCTGAATTTGTATGTGTTCCTAGCTTATTCACTTTAGAAAATAGGCTTCTAGGCAATTGGGACAGTGCTTTTTATAGCGCTTACTGCCAAGGAGGCAAAAGTGGAGACACCTGGCTGCTGGTTACTGAACCACCAGAGATCTGAGGGAGGAGTCCACTGCTAGAAACCCCCGGCTAGGTTCTGAGCAGTTGCCTTTAGCAACCCACAGTGTTTTCACAGTCGTCTTTATCGCTTAGCAGTTTTTTCTCCAGCTGGAAGACTTGGAGAATGTGTGACTATCTCTTACCCCTTCTTTCCTTTGGAAAAGTTAGGTGCTAAAGAGATGACAGGGTCAATGAAGCAGCATGGCTGGAAGATTGCTTAATTACAGTGCTCTTGGACTAATAAGTAAAACATTGAGTAAATAGGAGCCAGGTTTCTTACTGTTGGAGAAGGAATTAACAAATATGGAAAGAAAGTGAGCTATAAATAACCTTGAGGCTTTAGGGTGGATTAACATTGAGTATGAAATCATTTCTCAAAAACTATATGTATATATATTTATGTGTGTGCACACATGTATACCATAACTCTCTCCATTCAGAGGCCAAAAGCAAAAGACACATCAAGTGACCAAAAGATCTTGGTTTCTAAATAGCATCCTCCATGAAAAGGAAGCAGGGCTGATTCTAGGGCTGGCACTGGGAAAGTACAGAGTGAGCCTTTAACCTCTTGTAAGGAAATGTTCCAAGCATGATGGGAGTATGTCAAAAGGACACAAGAGCCAGCTGGAAAGGGCTCCAGCTGGCCAAATCTGGGACAGTCTGAACATCAAAATAAATGATCCTAGTAATTGATTACAACCTATTGAATAAAGCATGAATCCGTGCTAATGTTAATACAGATAAATGATGGAGTAAATAAATAAATAGGGAGGAACAGCTCTTCCTTATGGTAAAAATACCTACTGATAAGGATTAATGGGTATAGAAAGTCACCATTTGACAAGAGTGTTGTGTTGTTTGATTTAGGCAGGAGTCATCAATGGATACTAAGGCTGATGGGTAGGTGTTTGATGTGAAGCAGGATATTAGCCTAGTCTTGAAGTATCTTCTGAAAAATACTTATTAATTCAATAAATGGTGAATGTATTGAAGAGGAGCCTGGAAGACACCAAGTTAAGCAGGTGATCATGGTGAACATCACCAGTTGTGGAATGGGTCCTATCATGAACTTCCTGATGAAGTGTACTGGGATCACAGTGTCATTTCTGTCATGTTCCTGAAAAGGACAATACATGGCATGGTCTAGACATAAGGAAACAATGGATAAACCCAGGGTGAGAGGCATCCTTCAAAATGAAAAGTTTATGCTCTTTAAAACTCTTAAACTTATGAGAGACCGAGAAAAACAGAAGAACTGATCCAAATTGAAGAGATTTAAGAGACATGACAATTACATACAATAAATATCCCAGATTGGCTCCTAGACCAGAAAGGAAAAATAAACACTGGGCAAAAATTCAGTGAAATCTGTAGATTGGATGGTATATTTTATCAATGGTGAATTCCTGACTTGGATATTTATATTGTAGTTTTGTAGAAGAATATCTGTGGGGTGGGGGGGGATATGTACATTGAAGAATTTAGCAGTGATGAGACATTCTTTCTGCAACTTAAATGGTTTCGGAAAAAAATGATTATCTATGACATGTTGGTTTCCCTCTAGCTACACTTCCAGAGAATTCAAGGCCAGTTCATGATATTTTTAAGAAGTTAAAGGTTCACTTTTTGAGGGGACACTAATATGTTTCCAGTTTTGTGCTAATGATTTTCCAGTGACCCTGCTACTCTTTTTTCCAGTGGCACTTCTTGAACAACTGACAAGTGGTATTTGGGGAGAGCAATGAGCTCTTGCTATACCACCCCCCAAATATATAATACTGTTGTAGATAAAAACATCTCTGTATTTCATTTCTTCATCTAACAATATTTATCGAGCACCTGTTACGCATTGGTGTTACAGGCATTGGGCATCCAACTGAAACAAAACAGATAAGGTTCTTGCTCTCATGGAGTTTACATTCTGGAATTGGAAAAAACAGAAATTTCTAAAAAGCTTTAGATTATGTCAGATAATGACATCTGCTATGAAGAAAAAGGCAACAGAGTATGGAGGGGTTACCTATGTCACATCAGGTATTTTCTGTCAGGGTCAGCTGATTTATGAATATTGAAAGAAATAAGGATTCTATGTGGCTATTTGGGGGCTGGTTTTACCAGGAAAAGGGAACCATGAGTACAAGTACAATCTGAGGCAAGATTGTATTTGATATGCAGAAAAACAGCAAAGAATCCATTAAGATCATTAAAGATGGAGATGAAAGTAGAACCTGAGTGAAGAAAATGAGATCAGAAAGATGGGGAGCAAGTCATATGTGGCCTTGCCGTCAAAGGTGTGAAAGTTTTGCATTTTATTCTGAGTGAGAGGAGAAAACTTTGGAGATTTTTGAGTGAGGAAGTGTATGTGATCGATGTGTCTTAAAAGGTTTATTCTGACTGTATATGAGCCAGTATGGGAGCAAGTAGAGCAATTAGGAACTCAACAGTAATTCAGGAAACAGAGGATAATGACCTGTGCCAGGAAGGTGGCAATGAGCATGGTGAGAAGTGATTCGATCCTCAACATGTTTCGAAGGTGGAATAAACAGTATTCTCTGATGCATTTGACATGTAGTATGGAAGAAGAAGAGGAGCCAAGAAAGACACTACAGGTTGGAGCCTAAGTAACTGGCAGAATGGAGGAATAGTCATTTTCTGAGATGAAGATGATTGCAACAGAAGTTGATTGGGGTAAGAATCAAGAATTTGGACAGGTTCTATTCAAGGTGCCTAGAGGGATATCCAGAATGGCAATTTCATGTAATTTGCCTCAGC